TTCTCGCCTCGTTTTCTTTCACAACCAGCCGAAAACACCTTTGAACTCACATCTACCTATTAGTGATGAGTATCCGCATATATTTTTGCCAAAATATTCGGAAAGGCTGAGCTGGAAGGGTTTCTAACCGTCACTTTCTTCATCCTGAAATGGGAAGCTTAGTGAATGCGAATAACTTATACAAGGTTTGAGCCATGACCTACACCGTCACCGGCCTTTTTTACCATTCAGGTTTGTATTTTCCGTACAATCCTGATTTATTGGTGGGCTACAGAAAGTTTAGCATTGTCTTTGAATGATTGCTAGAGGGGGTTGTTGCAGGAGTTGGATATCGTATGATACTTTGGACCTCTTACCATCGTAAAAAAAAGGATTGGTGTGTACTGAGTATGAAATACTTGAAATTCAGTACATGTGCCAAAGTTTAGAGTAAGTTTGAATCGTGTGAGAAAAGGAACAATTTATATGCTTTATTGATAATCAGCGCACACTTGGTAGCTGTAACTGCTCAGTGTTCTCCGCCAGTCCTTTATCATTACCTGGTTTCATTTGCCCTTTTCAGGCTTGGAAAACCTAAATATCATCGAACATGCAAACTGCTACAGGAGTATTCAAAGTGAGAGGTATCGCAGGGGCAACTGACCGCCTCAGCTGGTGTGAAGCCACTGGCTCCCCTGGCGTCAAGCTACACGCGATTCCTCGCCCCGGAACCACCATCTCGGAACATACGCAAACAATGTTCAAGGCCAAGCAGCTATCAGGCGATGAAACTGTTTGCGATATCATCCTGGATGCGCCTGCTTCAACTCCAATTCGAGTGACCCTAGCTTCATCCAAAAGAGAGCTCTCACATAGCAACCCTTATGTGTACGATATGCGCTTGCAGCTTTACCCGAAGGGTCTGTCCGGTGTCATCACAATAGTACTTGGTGAAAAGACCAATTAAGGGACGTCGCTCTGTCAAGCCTGACAGCAGTGGGAGATTATCTCGCCAACTAATCAACGATTAAAGCTTCTCGTTGTTAGATCGTACCCCTAGCTGGTGGCAAATACGGGCTAAACAAGTCCGCAATACACTATAACAATCGAGAAATCGGCAATTTCGCTCAGCTACCGTTCTCTAATACTGCGGATTATTGATGAAATACGAACAATACTGGCCAGGCAACCAACAGAGACGAGATTAGGTGTGCCAAATCCGGATAATTTTTCCTCGTTGAATGTTATTAGAAGACTGTTCTGTTTGGAGATAAATAGGACTCATTCCCATGGTTTCTTAAGAGATCCGACGCATCATTGAGTGATTAAAGAATAACTTCTCCCGTACTGCTCAATTGATCGGTTATCGTTACATGGGAGAACCGTAATGCGCAGGGTGGTTCCTTTTCTGTAAGCTGTTGTTACAATGGCTGCGGTGTGTATTGGCTCCTATGCCACGTAACAGATAACTACTTTGCCTCCGGAATAATTGTGGGAAGCCCGGGAAATTAAAATACCATTGAACGCCAATATAATGGAGACATCTATACCTTGTCATTTTCCGCCAATGTTACAAACAGTGACGATATGTCAGCTGTCATGTCTCGGGCGCTTTCCAAGGAAATATTATGTAAAAGGGTATCTATACGTTGTGACCTGGTTGGTATGTGGAGTGCTGTAAATTCAGTTTCTTGTCTGTAATCTCGTCTAGGTGCGTCAATTGCTGGGTGTTCTGTTTAGGAAGCTCAGGAAAATAATAGGCCTAAGCTGCATGGGAATGGAAATTTCAGGTATTCTAAATGTGTTAGTTATACCATGCCAGAAATGAGTCATTAAATTAAAGTTTCAACCTATAATGAAAGAGGGCTCATCCCTCAATAATATCCTGACGTCTGGATGACGTTTACATGTTCCCTCCCGCATTACTCTTTCCATTTTCACAAGTATTCTTACCTATATAGCCAAACGATTATTTCTATAACTTGCCAGTTCCAACCTGTCCATGTTTACAATTGGCCAGTGTTAATTTACAACTCATCAACTCCCAACGCTTCCCAACGCTTCCCATCGGCCTCCCAACAATTGTATTTTAATACGCCGCGATGCCAAACAGTATACCAATTATGCTCGAAGTTGGAACATTTATGACGCCCATTAATGTCTACGAAGATATTTCATACACACAACTTTCGGTTGTGGTCAGTACATATCTCGGGAAGACAAATTTATGCGGACAGACCCCGAGGGGTTTCTGGGTGCGCTGGGAACGCAACGACCAGCAGAGCCCTTTTCCGGAGAGAACCCGAATCCACATAGATAATTTAATGGCTACAATAACACTTATGATGTTAAGGGGTGGACGTGACGTCCTAGAAGTGGACTACCAATCAGACTCGTCACCGGGGTAATACTCCTAACTCAACAACTCCTGTTAGTTGGTACTTGCTGCTTTAATACCAAACAACTCCACAATGCACATTATGGCTGGCATAAGATGATTTTTGTAAGAATATTGTATGGATATAGATTTTGATTTATAAAATCAAAATTCAGGGGCCTGGTTGTTTTCCTCATTCTGCCGCTCAACACCAGAGCGGGCTTCTGGTGAACACAGGGTTTATTAACAAGATACCAGCTTCAATCAATATCAAGATTGCTCCTTAATAGTAACAGGGACTGCTCCCGTAGTACCAATTTCATTCCATTTACTAATTTCAACCATGTACCTCGAACTGTGGTTGAGCTTCTTGAGTTCGTTCGGTTCTTCGGGATCCATGGAGGATCTTCAGGCTAGACTGCGTATCCTCGTATCCTCGAATCCTTTACATCGTCAACGAGATCGATGCATCCTTGGGATCCGTACATAGAGCACACGGTCCGTATACCACCGTTGTCGCCTATCGTTCGAATGGAATGCATCTTATATTCACGTGACAAAAAACCCAATAATTTTATTTGCATGGGCATGAGGAAAATGAGTTCGGGGTGCTGTAGGTTTATATGAGAACGAAATTCATTAAGCGAACCTAGCGGATAAGATTCAAGGTACAGACAGATGCCCGCAAATCTAATACGATTTCCGACTGGATGGAATACATCGTAATTGCACCAAACAGTCCAGACGCCGTGTTCATGTGACTGAGAACAGGGAAAATAGTTATTCTCGTTTGTACCCACCCAAGGTTCATGTGAAGAGAAGCTGGTTCTTCTTGTCCTGGTGAACTTATAGGCCAAATTGCCTCCACGCGGAGTCTGTTTATTGGACAAAAGTCTTCGGAAACGTCATAATGATGTAGTTTCAGCGGTCACCCGTCTCTCACTATTCTCCATCCACTCGAAATTACCAGCTAGTGGCCACTTTCATTCATTCAGAGTGTAGTAATAATAAAATGTGCAGAAGCTCATGCCTAACCTAACGGATTTAGAATATTGAAAACTTTTGTGTGGCGGGGGATGCGTGTTTTCACTGCCTACTCCGTACCAAACAAATAACCTATGAGGCTATCATCTTTTTTCGATAGAACGTCGATCGTTCACATATTATAACCTGAGTCTCAACTGTGAACTAGCCCTAAGGACGGAAAAGTACTGTAGCGTCAGGAGGGCAAACAGCAAAGGGTCAATGCGGTGAGCATGTGATTACATCCAAGGCAAACGTGTCAAACGATTGAGATACCGCGTCATATCCTCAAAATTTGTGACAGTTTGAAATTCTTCATTCTATCATCTGTTAAGTGAACTCAAATTTGCCTAAAGATCAAGACGGATACTTAAGCAGTACGCTCCGATCACCAAACAATGCCAAGATCTCCCTATAGTGTGTAACAAACCTACTATTACGCCCTTGAGTATATTCAAAAATATCTCTCGCGTCTACTGTTTATCTGAATTCATTGCTGATTCAAATTTAGTCCTGTGGTCTCAAACCAGCCACGAATCGGACCCTGAGCAAAATATGATTACCCTGGTGTTCCAAGGTGAAAATATTCTGCCTTCCGATATTACTTTGTCCTTTACGACTCTATCCTTAGCCAACGAGGGATACGCTTGCTCTTTGGAGTTCTACGATCAAATCAATCCCCATAATCCGGATTTTAATTATGATGGTTCTTATCTTATGCTCAGGGTGCAGAAGGAGCAATTCTCAAATTCATACTGGCCGAACTTGACAAAGGAAAGACTGCCATATGTCTCAACAGATTTTGACAGAGTAAGATTCCAGGAAAACAATTTTCCACCTTGGAAATTCCTGACAGCTTCTGATTGATCGCAGTCTGTTGAGTTTGAAGATCAAGATATGGAAAGCCTTGAATGGTTTAACATGGACTCACATCCCCGGAGAGGAATATAGTCGTTGCGATCCTGGTGCTGAATTAACTCTTCATGGGATCATGTGAAAGCATGCAGTATGTCTACGCGAAGGGATGAAGACAAAGCGAAAAAGAGGAGAGAGGGAGAGCGGTTATTAAGAAAGAGAATGAGGACATCAATACGGGCCTAATTTGTTTCATTGACTTGCCGATTCGACCAAATTGATGTCTGCTGATTATTTTGGTTTTACTTCGCTTTTATTAAACCCATATTTTCACTTAGTCACGATTTATGCCCGTTAAGGTATTAATAGCTACCCCTGGAAAGACTTTCCTCTTGCGAGTCTGTTTATCGTTCCCTATGTTTACGATATATCAGTATTACCTGTAATAGATCTCCATTCCAATTCCCAAAAATGCATATTTGGTCTCAGTTTTCGCTTTTAACTTCTCCACATCACCCTGCTCACCAGCTGCTGGCCCTTCCGGTCACTCCTCCAAACTTTCACCTTTCTTGGTGGCTGTACTATGCGTGCTTATTTCCAGTTTTGGCTTTACTCCATGACTGTGGATTGAGGCACATTGACACAGGTTGGGTGGTTGTGGCCAAGTACATAGTTCAATGATCTACCTTGGTACAGTCGATGATGATGATGATGATTTCATTTACCCTGACCCCTCACCTCAACGGTGATATGCAGGCTACCTCAACTATATATATCCCTGTGCGTACATGTAGATTGTCCCACTTCCTGACAACGAACTTAGAGCCTCGTCACGGCCTGCCGTGGCCTCGTTGCCGCTTCCATTGTTAGGCTGCCCTTGTGGCGCGCGACTGCGAAACCGTTGTGACGCCTCGGCGAAGTCCAATACGGCCTGGACCGTCTTCGCCCTCGAGACGGTGTCTGGTTTACCTTTCTCACCTTGTTTTGAGCCTCCCAGCAGACTCGACACGCTGCTGAACGCATCCCCCACTTTCTGCCTCAATTCCCTTCGTAGATCCTTCAAGATTGGGCAATCCACCAGGACGTGGGTCACTGTTTCTTGCGCGCCGCACACACACTGATCGTCCTCGCGGAAACGAAAGAGCTTAGCGTAGGTGGATAGCCAATTGTGGCCCGTGCGTAGCTGAGTCAACAAGTATGCCTGGCCCCTGGCCAGGTTTCCGTACAACTTCCTGGTGTATGCCGACGGCAGAGTGTTGTCGACCTTCCTTAGATGGCCGCCTTTACTGGCTGATCTCCACTCATGTTCCCATTGGGCGATGATATTGCTACGAATGAACGCCTTCTCTCTCGTGAGCAGCGGCCGGAATGGGTGTTGTTGTAGTTCAGAGGTATAAATTGTGTTAAGTTATATGTACGTTCAGAGGGAACATGAGGCTATATATACAACAAGAAGATCAAGTTGATTTCCAATCAACTTAGTTCTTCGTATACATACTTCGGGATTAATTCCGATGGTTCGGCTTGGTTCCTGATCTGCACCAGCCTCATATCACAACATTCCCCTTCAGGATCGCTTTGCTGGCAGGGCGATTCTGGAATTGCGCAGAGCAGTCAGGCCTCGGTAAAACCACTCAAAAACCTTCGTGGGAAAATAAAGTGGAAAGAGCGCCAGCGCTGTCACGCGTTTTGTCTCGAAATCTCTGGAGCATCGACTCCCAGGAGACTACAAAACTTGGCAAAGGCCGTAGGTCCCAATGGCTTGGTGAGACCATCCGCAGCCTGTTCCCCAGTTGGAATATATTGAAGCTCAATCTCGCCTGTATCCAGCACGGCTCGCTGATAGTGAAATTTCACATTGAAGTGCTTCGTTCTCTTATGGAACTCGGGGTTTCGAGAGAGAGCAATGGCGGACTGGTTGTCAGCCATGATGTTAGTCACCGGAGACCGATACAGTTGCGTTTCAGCCAGAAAGGTGCGGAGCCACTGCAGATGCAGAATAGCATTGTACTGTCCTATGTATTCGGCATGTGTCGTAGACGTGGCCACTTCCCCTGTCTCTTGGACGACCAGGAAACCGGTGCGCCTGCAAGTTGGAACACATAGCCAGACGTGGAGTATGCACCGTCAGTGACGACGGAGCCCCCGAAGTCGGCGTCCGTGTACCCGATTAGCTGCCCACTGCGGTAGGTAATGCGATGCGATTGCGTGGCTTTGATGTAGCGAAGCAATCGCTGCAGAGCGACTTGGTGATGCGATTGCGGTTGGGACGTGAAGCGACTCAACATGCCCAGCGCAAATGCAATATCCGGTCGCGTGCCAATCATCAGATACATTAACGAACCGATGGCGGTTACATACCGAGCTTTTGCTTCCTCGTCTGGAGGTTCCACCTCTGGACGATGATTCAGGATTTGCTTGGGATTCATCGGCGTAGACTTCGGCTGACAAGTCTTCATGCCAAAGTCGGAGAGCACCTTCTGGATATACTGGTGTTGGTGAATAGACACGGAACCGTCAACGTGATAGTCGAACTGGATTCCGAGGAACGATCGCGGGGTGCCCAGGTCGTTCAATTGGAACTCTGTTTGCAATGCTTGTTGCACTTGTTTTATTTCGTGCGGGTCTGACGCAGTAACAAGGAAGTCATCGACATAAACACAAACAACACAATCCGGTTTATGGAATACGCAGTTGTCCGATTGGGCCATGGTGAAGCCATGAGAAGCCAGGACGCGGTGGACGCATTGGTACCAAATCCGCGGGGCTTGCTTCAGGCCGTATAGCGAGCGGCGCAGCCGACACACATATCCTGGCTCTTCGAAGCCTTCGGGAAGTTCCATATAGATAGACGAATCGATGTCTCCATGAAGGAATGCGGTGACCGCATCGAATTGGTGGAGTTTCCATCCGCGCAGCACGGCACTGGCAACAATGCAGCGAACGGAGTCCATACGCGACACCGCAGCAAACGTTTCGTGATAGTCGATGCCATGTTTCTGCCGGTAGCCTTTAATGACCAATCGCGCTTTGCGTGTTCCGTTGGCCTTGGTTTTGAAGACCCATCTGCAGCCAATCACATGATCTTTGGCCGGTACGTCCTCTCGCCGGATATTTTCCCATGTTCCGTGTTCGAGAAGCGACGCATATTCTTTCTGGATAGCAGCCCACCATTCGAGCTGGTTTGGGCCAGACACAGCTTCGCCAAAGGTCGCCGGGTCGACCGATTGGGCCGTTGTGGTATTCAAGGCACCTGCAGAGTATACCTTACCTAGTGATTCCAGGAGACGCCGTGACGGTCTTCGTCTGCGACCATAGATTGAATACCCAAGATCCGATGTCAGGTCGGTTCCTTGTTGGCTTGGATTAACCACTGGAGGTGTCTCTTCTTCACGCTCAGATGGCGTTTTCTCTCGCTCACTCGACGGAGGTAATGGCGATACAGGTGGTGTTGGTAGCCCGCTGGCTGAATTTGGCATTGATGGAAAGACCGGTGATGGAGGAGCGTTGTCCGGGAGGTCGTTGCCTATTTCCCCCTCGATGAGTGGCGCCACTGGGGTCCTCTCATCGAACTCGACATCACGGGAAAATACAGTCTTTCCAGAATGAATTTCATAGAGCTTGTACTGGTTCGGCTCGCAGTAGCCTAGCAGTCGGCACTCGGATGTCCTCGGTCCAAGTTTTGCACGATGCTCTTTTGGGATGAAGACCCATGCGCGGGAGCCGATCCGTCGCAGATGCAAGAGCGAGGGTAGCTTCCCATAAAGAATTTCAAAGGGCGTCTTTTTCTGTAAGATCGAAGCTGGAGCACGCAGTTTCAAGTAGACCACGGTGTCTACAAGCTCGATCCACCAGGAAGGAGGAAGGTTCGCATCGGACAGGAGCGTGTTGATCCGCTCCCGGATAGTGCGGTTGGTGCGTTCCGCCAGTCCATTCTGCCCTTTGCAGTATGGCGGCGAGGTGTCGAACCCAACTCCCTGGCTTTCGAGGTGTGTTCCGATCGGCAGGTATTCTCTTCCATTGTCGGTGAGGAACCTCTTGATCTGGGCGCCGAACTGTCGGTGCACCCAGGCCTCAAATTGTCGGAACTTCTGGAGCGCTTCATGCTTCCATCTCATGGCATAGGCCCACGAGCCACGAGAATAATCGTCAGTAAAGGTGATCACGTACCTAGAGCCATCTTTGGCCATCGGCATCTCCATGATGTCCGAATGGATCAATTCGAAAATTCTCGTTGAGTGCAGACGTGGCCGTCGTGCACGGGAGTTTCTCTTCTGATGCTGCTTACCCGACATACACGCCGCGCACTGCGGCGTTGCCAGCAGCTGCGCTGGCGTCAGCGGTCGGTACGGAGTGCCGGTCTGCCGGAGGACCATCCTCAAGTCGCCCCGGTTCAGATGTCCCATCCGAGCGTGCCACAACGCTTCGGAGGCCTGGTCCACTCCTGTGCTCGCATCTGCTTCGAGTATCACAGCTTCACCACCGAGTTCAGAGGTTGACGCTGTACATTCTACGTCACTTGACTCCTGAGGGTCGTCGACGTCCATGGCCACCGCCTGCGGTTCCAGGGAATCTGCATGGTCATCGGTCGCCGGCGCCCTCGCCAGTTGGACTCGCTCTCGGAATCTCTTGCTCACTTGGCACCGCAGGATCAGTAGATCCTCCTCCGCATGGTAGGCGGTCCCCACCGTCCGTCCTCGGCGTTGCACAAAGACGTTCTGCGGGTGCGCCACCACCGAATAGCGGTCTCGTAACAGCTTCGGCACGCTGATCAGGTTCATCCCAACGCGTGGCGCGAAGTACACATTCTTTAACACCAGGGGTTGGTTGAACTTCCCCCGGAGCGTGAGTTTCACCGTACCAATCCCTTCGGCTTCCACTGGATCGCCCGCCGTGTCCAACATCTCGCGATGAGGCCGAAGACTGCTGAAGCAGCTCCGGTCCCAGCAGATGTGGCTAGTGGCGGCCGAGTCCAGGATCCACCGGAGTGACGGTGCGTGGGTATAGAGAGTCGTCACCCTCGCCCTCACGATATTGATCCGCGGTCTCTTGGAAGTCGGCGGGCCCTGCCGATCTCCCATCTGGCTTGATGGTATATTTTGTAAATTGTTTCTTGGTGAGCCGGAAGCACTCCGTTCAGCCTTCAGGGCATGGTCCCTGGGCGGTTGCTGTAGTTCACGCTGTTTCTTCCAGCAGTCCGCGACTACATGGCCGCGCTTTCTGCAGTAATTGCATTTCTTGGTGTTCTTCTGCACCGTATTGATCGAAGGGTTACTCGTTCCACCAGACACTCTTTGCGGGAACGTTGCGGCGTCCTTTCGCTGCACCGTCTGCTCAGCATTTGCTAGACGGTTGCCAATATTTGCCGGGTTGACAGGATCCTTGTCATTTTGGATCGCATCCACAATCAGGATGTATTCCGGTCCGATCTGCGTCAGTAGGATTGCAATGTGCGCTTTGTCGCCGATGGATCCAGGGGCGATCGCATTCAATCGATGGACTAGCATCCGTACACGATCGACGAATTCACGTGCACTGCCGCAGCGCTCGCCGGTGGTCTCGCGCAGCTGGGCGAACAGCTCGCAGAACGTGGCGAGTTCCATCCGCCGGTAGCGTTCTTCGAGATCATTCCAGAGGTCGCGGGATGTCTCCAGCCCCGCGACATGGATACTGATATGGGGGGGACAGATACCGGAAGATGGTGTGGTAGGCTTCGGCCTCGCGGCGCGACCATTCACGATGGCGCTCGAATGCCTGGACCTCCACTTCGAGGCGCGCCTCAATCGCGCGTTGCCTCACCGCCCCGTTGAGGTGCGGTTCCACTAACGAGTGGATGTCCGCCGTAATCGGTTTGGCGTACTTGAATGAGCAGACAGGACGCTCAAGGTCGCCCGACACGACATCCCAGACCTGCCTCGCTTTGAGGTAGGAGGTCATGAGACGTTTCCAGGTCGCAAAGTTGTCGCTTCCTGTTAGAGGCTCGATGGCCGTGACGGCTCGATCGGGCGAGTCGTGAACCAGAGCAGACATAGTGATGGTTGTGAAAGCGGGGTAGATATATAGTAATCTGTTGTAGTAATCAAGATGATTCTCAGATGAGTAGAGACGGCATCCGAGAGTTGCTGCCGGGCTCATAACCTGTTGTAGTTCAGAGGTATAAATTGTGTTAAGTTATATGTACGTTCAGAGGGAACATGAGGCTATATATACAACAAGAAGATCAAGTTGATTTCCAATCAACTTAGTTCTTCGTATACATACTTCGGGATTAATTCCGATGGTTCGGCTTGGTTCCTGATCTGCACCAGCCTCATATCACAACAATATTCAACAGGACCAGTGATTCGTGATCAACAGGTTGATGGGCAGTGCGGGTGACTCCCGGGCGGTGAGTGTCGGCCAACGGTAAACCATTCCCGCCATGTTGGGATCTTTGCTCCTAAATGCAAAAGTTGATAGACAGTGCCAAACAATGATTTATACATATTAGATTCAATGTGGTAGTACATACTCCGATCGGCCTTCTGTACGATATTTTCGTGGTTTGAGTACCGTCGCGTGCTCTCTGGCGATATTCTATATCTGAGGTTGTGTCTCTATACATAAGCTAAAAATCAACAAAATATATCCCTCGATCAAAGCTACAGTACTAAAGATCCTCGGCTCTGCATGCTGAATCTTGTCGCCGCAAGGGCAATATTGACAGCTTCGAAGTTTCGGTCAGTTTTGCCTCTCTTAAAATAGAGGAGGACATGGTCCATGGTGGGAGAACATGATATGTCCCCCAACTCATGTAACTTGATAGCAGTAATGAGTTGATTATGTTGAAGTTCGGCAGCTGAGTATGTAAATTCACCAACCCGACGAAAGTAGGCGAAGGCGACGCGGGCGGCCACGGAGATATCAAGGTCATTCTTCTGGGCCTCTGATAGCCCGAGCGGTTAGGAAGGAAGGTGTGGAATATTACCTAAAAGGGATTTGATTGAGGGACGTAAGGTTTGGTTTCTAGCCCGCTTTCGACGCCGCGGAGCCGACAAGCGATATATTTACGATGTCCAGTAAGAAGCATCATTATCTTGAAGGAAGGGGATCTCAACCAACAGATCCGAATACAACCCATCATTTGATCACAATCAGCATCAGTGGCTAGGTGAGATTTGCCAGCCGTTTCACTTCAGCATGACATTTCCAACGTATGTATCTCTAGATAAATTTTAGAGTCCATATATTTTTCCATCTAAGAGGTATGGAACTCAATAGATTACACGTGATGCGTAGCTAGGGGCGTTTTGGCATGCCCAAGTGGCACCTGCGCCAATAGGTAGATGTATGCAGACCCACCTCGAATGCTCACTGCTCGATTCCTTTTGACCTCCTCCCCCTTTCTTGCTTTTCATCCTACCCCTTCGCTCCCTTTGCCTTCATTCCGTTCTGAGTGTATATGTAAAGTATATTCTTGGTCTTCTTTTGAGTTTGTGCCCAATTGTTTCTCGCTGATCAATCAAGCACCCAAGGCCATACATACAGTATCATTCCACACCTGCTTTGACTGCATAATGTCAACCATATTAGAGAGCACGATTATTGGCGCTTTATCCTCCGTTCCCCTAACCACCACTTTTTACCCAAGCTCCAACTGCTTCACTGAAACACGAATTGCCGAATGGATAAATCACGTCAACTCGGTCCCGATGGAGGACACACAGCCGAATTCCCCCACATCAACCTGGTTTAGACTAGGCCCGTTAGACTGGACCTCTTGCTTCCCGTCTGGCTATCAGACCCAAGCCAGTGATTTCTTTTCCCCGGCAATTTGCCCCTCCGGCTACTCTATTGCAAGTTCAAGCTTGCTAGATCTTGATTTGACTCAGGCCACATGTTGCCCTAGGTAGTTTTCCAAACATTCGTCCTATTTAACCATATGCTAATACAAGCTATCATATTCAGTGGGTATAGATGGAATAGCCACATCCAATATGAATGGGAAACTACACAGCCATGCTATTTTACTATACCCAATACCGAATTTGTCATCACCGCCACTGGTCCAGATGGGTCAGAGACGATCGCCCCAGGCGTCCATGGCGCAGTCAATGCGCGGGCGGTGTTCATAAAATGGAAATCATCCGATTTGTCTCCAACGGTAACAACTAGCGCTCCAAACAATGGTGCCAATCTGCCCTCGTGGAAAGATAGTTCAGGAAAGTTATCGAGGACTTGGATAGTTGGACCCATCGTCGGCAGTATCCTGGGGTGTACTTTAATTGCGCTTTCCGTGCTTTGGTATGTTCGGCGAGCAAAAGAGCAAAGATCTCTCAAGGAAATCTCTACTCTTATCGAACTTCCAACTGGGAAAGCTCCTTTGGAAGCTCCCTTGGAAGCTCCTTCCAGGTGTGCTCCTCACGAACTCGGTGCCAAAAACCACAATCTACATGAGCTTCCATAATTGCCTCTAATACATTTACTGTACTGTATGGAAGTTCGATACGCTCTTTGACACCCATGTCTCCCAAGACCTCTATACGACGTTGGATCCGTGATATATTGTCAGATCGGAAATTTGGCCGGCAAAGTTAAAAAACAAAGCATGTAGCCACAGTCGCATCAAGGACACAATAGAGATACTAGATGCAAATTTGCCTCCGTGAAACAAATTAGGGGTAAGTTTGCCTCGGATGCCCCGATATGCAATGAGTTGCAACAGGAAGGAGCATTGATCCGGGGGCTGTCCCCGTACAATTACATTTGTGACAAAGGGTCAGAGTAGAAGTTTGGCCAGCACGATTTGAAACAGCGAATGGCGTCCGTCGTACACAACAAGGGCGGGAGGGCTTCATTGCACCTTTTTCTGTGTCAAACAAAGCCTGGATGAGGGCTGTGCTGGCCGAAATGACAATTAGATTGGGAATTGTCAGATTTCCTCTACCTTTTTTATCGAATTCACCGCTCAATGACGTGAGTGTACTTGACCGTCAGGGCAGTAGCTGTAGGGGTGTTCCCAGTGAATCATCCGGCTACCCTGGGATGATAAGTAGGTGAGAAAACCGAAATTCCTTCCGCTCGCAAATTGTCCGTCGGGTGGATTTCAGGCAGTTGTTGTCCGACTTTCCATGGCTATTAGTTATCGCTTGAGCCAAAAGATCTATAAGTGTAGCCCCCGGCTGCTAGGATAAATAATCCAGATCGGCAGGCGGTCTTTATCGATCGTCTGCTAGTATTGATTAGCTACTTGCTTCAGTCGAATTGTTGTGATATCAGGATAGTACAGATCAGGAACCAAGGCGAACCATCGGAACTAGTTCCGTGGTGTCTATACAGAAGACCAATTTGATTTCTGGTCAACTTGGCTAATATATGGCCTCATCTTTTCCTCTAATAGTATAACAAATAATACCTCTGAACTACAACAGGCTTCAAGCTTGCATAAGGCATCACCCACCTCGATCTCGTGGGAACGGAATGGACACGGGAAAAGGTAGGCACTTCAAGCAATGTGAGCTAATCAGCGCCATGAAGAGCCGAGATACGTACAAACTTTCTGTGAAATTATTGGTTGATATCAGGCGGTGGCTCCCAGGAGGAGCCTTGGGCCGCCAATACTATGCAACTTTGTCTGCCAAGGAATATTAAGCCAATCGGTGCCCTGACTGACCCACATGCTTTCGTAGTCTAATCTAGGCCACTAATCGTCATTTGGTACTGGTATGGAAATCGCAATAAGTCTGTCATTTTTGAAATACTGGATGAAAACTATTTAACATGCAATTACAGCATTGTAAGCAGTTTACCTAATAATGCCAAGCAATTGGACGTGTATTCGACTAGTAATGGTATACATGTCGCGACACATGCACCAGCATTGCCTGAAAGGAAATGATTGGTCTAAATTTGGCTGTAAGCTCCGTGTCGCGACAGAGCGTAACGTTACTAGTCGATTTCACCATCCAATTGCTTGGCATTGCTTATTAACAGGCTTTGTCATCGTAATATGTTGTCAAATAGTTTTCCTGAGGTATTCTAAATTGAGCAGACTGTTACCATTTTCCAGACAATACCCCATTTTCCAAATATGACCGATTCTTGGTCGCGAAACTCCGGGATCAAGGGCGAGGGTCTCATGTATAATTATTCGTGAAAAATATGCTCCAGATAGGTGTTTATATCAAATAAAGCTATGGCTGACTCAAGATACACGATCTCAAGCAGAAAATTTAAAGGAGAATAGCTCCCTCGCGTCCAGAGGAACCCAGATGCGCCATAAGGACTGTGTCCTCAGCTAGTGTATACCTCATGTATGTCTCTAGCAGAGAGTGCTTTTGCCCCATGTAGCTTTCACCGCGCCCAATACGATTGGATGATTCTGCCGCTGAAAGACAACAGCTAGTTGGCTCAATGTAAGGTCGAATTACGGAGGACCTCTGGATCCACAGCATCACACATGCTACCAACTTTGAGTCCATCGCTCAGTGTACAGGCCGAAATATCTCCTTGCTTGTTGAAGAAAGTGGCTCGCCCAGTCTTCTCCAATAAGATCCATACCGCCGGCAGGCCCTTTTCCGTAGTGCATGCTTCAACCGATACCATGGGAAGGTCGTGACTGTTACCAATGGCGCTTCCACCCAATTCTAGAAACCTGTTAGTCTCCTCGCCATTATTTTATTAGATTAGAGTACTCACTCGAACAGTCTTTTTTTTTTTGGTAGACTAAACGGAGTCGAATGTCCCGTGCATCCATGGTTATCATTAGACCATATCATGCACTGGCTACCAACATCGACAATGCTTAGAGTGCCAGCAACAGAATTCTTTGCGTAGATTATAGCGAGGATTGGAAAGAGGAACGGGCGCATAATCTCGGTGTTTGTCACGAAGCAGGGTAGAGAGAGGGCCTGAGAATTCTTGTGCAAGATGGTAACAGTATAGGTCGGGCTCATTCAATATATCCACCTGGAATGAGAAGATAGATTGTATTTATAGAGAATGTAGGATTCAGACCTCAGTAAAAGACCTGCATGTGGTGCTATACCCAAAATCATTCCGAAAGGTGACAAATTTGAGCTCTCGAACGGGCAGAAAGAATGTTGAGGGAGGAACGCATCTCTAACCACCATTAAGATGGCAAAACCAACATAATCATCTGAACTTGTGGTGAGTGCCCCCTGGTCAGTAGAATTTAGAGCTTCGGGTGCTTTTTGAAGTTGAAAATCTTCCTGAGCGCCCAATTAAGAGGCCGATGCGATAACTTCGGGTTGTTGCAGGAAAAGCGGCTAATGCACAGCGACTGAGTGAGCCGCAACCACCGGCGGGCATACAGTATCCCTTTCCTGAGCACTCTGAAACAGTCATGCGAATGTTCTACACTTACTGCAATAAAAGGATAATCCTTTTGAGACAGGCTGTGAATTTCCCTTTTCACTAGTGATTAACGACACAAACACGTCAGACCAACACGAACCATCACCCTGCTGATCGCTATCCCATAATAGCAGAGGAATACAATAAGCCACAGGCTCCTAGGAACTCACGGCTAAACTCGGATCATCATTTATACCTGAGGCTGTGTGGTGTACCTGGGTCATTAATGGCACCGATATTTGCTTAGGTAGATCTCATTGTATTCGTATGTAACTTAGTATCCCATGATAGCATTTATCTCGACGACCCACTGGATCCTAGGAGCCAGCGCTAGGAGCCATCCAATCATCTAACCGAAGGCTTGGGCGCATGTGGGCCTTTCATAGCATTAATTGGCTCATATTTCGTTGTCGCAATACCCACTTTCCCTTGTCCTTTAATTTCCCAAGAGGCTCGTGTGTGTATTGCCTCTGCAAAGATGCGGCTGATGGCAGACAATTGTTCTACGGAAACACAATCGACATGATGACTCACGCGGAAAATCAGTGGACCACCTTACCCTTGGTGTATCTTCAATGCTTACCCATGGAAGTCCGTTGCGTATTGTGCAATGAAAAGCTCCAAGTACCCTCGTGGAATCGAGTAAGATGATAATTTGAAATAGCCATTCCTGACTGACTTAGACTGTAGGTCCCAATGAGGAGGAGATTCCCGGTGAAGAAGTATGTATGACAATAGGTAAAGAACTAGTTTAATAGGGTATTGATGGGGCGCTTTTGAGTGAAAAAAGCGCTCATCATAGGTGGGTGGAATGAAATGGCATGACCGGTTGCCGTCTCACCTTCGTAATAACCATAAAGATGAATGTTGATACTCGTCATCGGTGCTTCTCTACGGCATTTTCGCGACTGTTTAAACGAAACCAACTTTGAGAAAACATTTAATATGCTGGGTCATCAGGGGAAAAAAAACAATGCCTTCGAATTCTGTATTAAATCAAAGATGAGATGTTGAGCCAGCTGCGATTGGGAAGTCATCTGTGTTTGTGCCCTCACAATCCACAATGATCATCGCATCGACGCTGGCAGAATGTCTGGCTGGAATGCTATAAATACGCGAGCCCTCGCCAGCAGAACATTCGGTCTCAAGCATTCCTTTGTCACTATGGGGCAAAGGATATCGATCGCTTTTCGTCTTCGCCAGCAACACTTCGGTATGGACTGGCCTTGAAGCCGTGCACTAATAATTCAACTAACCTTTTGTATCGCACTAGCCTGTCATTTTTCGATTCTGAAGTCTTCAAACAACGAGTGGGCATAGCTGCCCCGTCATTTGAAAACATGCCGACATGGAATATACTCAAGATCAGTGCTCCTCTACTATCTCTCTAGGAAACCATTTGACGGACCTTGGATGACCTGGGAAATTATCAAAGCTACGAGCACGGTGAGTCATTAAGTGCCGTAAGAAGCTGCCTACTAGTGATTAGTAATTGACTGGAGTCATCCCTGAGGCAACCGCGTTGACCTTGCCAGAATGCAGCGAACAGCAATAGCTAGCAACGTAAGTTTTTATCAGCAGCGGTTCGGAGGGTATTCATCCTGTGCTGACGACTCCCTGTATAAAAAGGCAACCATTCGATCACGAGTCGCTCGATATCCTCTAAATCACCCTGGTGCGTTGCCTCTGCCTATTCCCGTGGCCTGGGACGCGTTTCGGATCCCAGTGCAGATGTTATTTACTTGAGGTTTTATCTTGTCGTGCTCTCTGTCCATCAGGAAAGATCGCTGATGCCTCTTTCTGGTCATAGGACATATGTCAACATGGCACTCGCCACGACCGAGCCGCACTTCCCCATCGTCCTCAAACCAAGGATGTACGACTGGCCGGGCCACTGACTCCCAATGTGTTTCTACTTTGCTATTCCAAGACACATACTTGAAATTCCCATTTCGCTCGTGTCAGCGGAAAGGATCCTGGAGGCTCAGTCCACGACGACGGCACAATCCGGACCCATGCTAGACCGACTGAGATCATCCAGCTACAACGAATAAAAGCCGAGCATCAAAGACCACCGAGGAATACCACGGTTTCTACCGAGAAAGGCATCAATCTGGAATGAGTTGAGCTTTTGGCCACAGTATGGGGGCCAGCTCTGTCAGGCCCTGGTTGCAGTTGAGCAAGCGACATTGTAGGCCACAGCACTGGGTCTACTCCGGATATCTCGTCACGAGAGCAGTAATCTTAAGGACAGTTTCTACCCTCCTCAGAACGCCATATCATTATTCTCTTCTTCATTTTCCAGTAACATTGTCTACTGAAACGGCTGAAAGTTTGCCTAGAGATATGCATTGACAGATAAAGTCCACCCATCCCTTCTGTATGGAGCAATTTTGGGCCCTCTTATATGTAAGTGAGCTGAGGTTGTTATTTCATGTTTGGTCTGTCTATGCTGATGCCAGACTACGCTGCAGTGAGACTGGACCACTCTCATCGCCCAAACTCATGCTAATATGGAGAAGTAGTGAGAAAGTGTGGTTCGGCCGCTCCCGTGGATCCAATCGGGTTTCTGCTGGTGGGCTGGTATTAGGGGATCTCATCTCGATCACGAGATAATGCGCCAGCAGCTAACGATGTGTGCTAGATTGAGTATACCCCTCAGCAAATTGCTCTTGCCGTGTCCCAATGCAGACAACAATATAAAGCTGCGACCATGACCCCCTTTACGAACAAAGCTGGCAACACGTTCTCATCACTGCAAGTTTGGGATAAACAACTGACCATGTTGCCAGATCGCTGATATGAAGATGACTGTTTCCTCCCAAAGGCGGCAACAAGCTGATCGAATGCTCCCTTCTCGATGTCATCACCGAACGCCACGAACTCATCAGTAGAGGCAGCCCAGTAAAGAACGGCCAGTCGATTGCCGCAACGGTTATAATTGCTCAATTATTACTCGAAAGATGCCAGGTCGGTTTGAAATCGTGGATAAGACGTACTTGTTGACTTCAAACGTAGCCGCCATGTTTCTGTCAGTGCGGGCCTGTCACGTTTGCCCGACACGAGACGCTGCGACGCGTCAGTGCACGACCTCGTCGCCTGTGGCACACGTCCGAATACCGCCAGATGCTGCCTTGGGCCGGCATGCTCAAGTGACTACAAAAAATTGGTTTCATTGTAATCATGAGGTGGCCAAGAGGTAAAAGTCAACCGCAGAAAACACGACATCACCCAAAAATCAAGCGGGTTTTGAACCGTCTTCTAATGAAAGGTCATCTGAATGTATCCTGCAGGAATCGAACCCGAGCCGTTATTAGAAAGTAATGCAGCAAATTCCATTAGACCATGCAAAGAGAGGTTCTGGCGCGCGGCTTTTGCTTGATTATAGCCGCGATTTTCCAAATGATCATATCCGCCGCTCTTACGGGCACACATCCAGCAAGATCAGCGTTTTGAAGCTCCACGGGTGTATTTCATTCGATCAGGCCGACACAAAAATATGTTAAGAAGAATTAGGCTTTCTATCGCTGTTATTCTGGTGGTTCGTTCCCAATTTTACCGCCGATCATGTATATTCGCACTGGTCCAGAGATATATATATCAGATATTAAGTTGACTTATAGTGACACTACCTCAGATATAGAATATCGCCAAAGAGCACTCGACGATGCTCGAGCCGAGAGAATGTCACACAGAAGACCGACCGGAGTATGCACTACCATATCGAAGCTAATATGTAGAAATCATCATTTCGCACTGTTTATCAACTTTTGCATTCGTGGGGGGGACAAAGATCCCCACTATGACGGCGATGGGTGTTTATCGTTGGCCGCCACTTCACCGCTCGGGAGTCACACTGCACTGAGCATCAACATGTTGATTCATGATTCACTGGTCCGGGCCCCATCACCAACTCGCAACCGTCACTCACCTCCAGCCCTCACCATCAACACACCAACACATCAACACACCACCCACTCACCGTCTAAACTCCTCATCTCCCTACATTCGGACAAATTCTGACAAATTCTGTTGCCACTGCTAGCCAGCATGGACACGCATCCACACGAATGGACCAATTTGGATTTCAGCCGCTACCCATATTGGCCACCCCGCTACTAGCCATGACTCGATGCTCTACTTCACACTACGTGGAGGAGAATGTCCATTCTCGAAACCCAGGGCGTGTTTGAGCGCTACAAAGTGCATTTTTCGAACCTTCTAGCACGGTGGCATTTACATACAATGTTGAAGTCATTTTAGACCATGTCTTATTGAATTCTTGATTTCTATTGATTGTTTGGAGCAGGTCTTGGCTTCTTCGAGTACCCATGGAGGATTCGAATACTAGTCTCTGACACCACGAAGAGGTGCCTGCAATCGCCAGAGGATCAGGACGAGGGCCGCGGCGCCACGGGTCGCCTGAAAAGCGCAAATTTGATAACGCAGGGCTCAAGGCTGCATGGAAGCTCAAGATTATACAATGACAGGGCTCAAGGCTGTGAGGGAGAACTTGGTTTCGCAGCGTCCCCCTGCGGAGGCTCTTGATATCGCAGAAGTCCCTGCGGAGGCTCGTGATATCACATTTATACAACACAGGGCTCATTGCTGCGAGGCAAACTTGACTACGTGGGGCCTTTCCCGCGAAGACCTTATGGTAACGCAGAGCTTATCCTGCGACGCACATCCGAGTGGCTCGGGGTTGTGAGGAGGAAAGCCCTGCTTTTCTTTTCGACGGGAAAAGAGCGTCTTTATGCCAATTTGAGTAGGGTTTCCGGCAGCGACCACTTGCGTACATTTTGCCGGATCCAGAGATTTCCACTCGACATTCGTAACGGGCGGCAGCATTTTTGCTGGGTGTTGAGGCGGTTTATCAACGTTGAAATAAGACATTTCAAGAGTTCGGGGCGGAGAGAGTGGGTGGAGTGCCACGCCCCACCTGGAGCCGTGGTTGCCATGATGCGATGCATGACAAATCATCCCTCTCATCAACGTTGTTTCACCTAGGTCAAACGGCCTTCAAAGCAGTTGGCATGAGGTTATACTGAAGTGGCATGCCATGGGCTTCTCGCCGTGGCAGCTTAATTTCTTGTGGCACCAGAAGTCTGCCAATATTCGCTCGCACCGTAGCCAATCAATTTGCAAATCATTGGTCTCAACATTGCTCAACGATGTGAAACGGTTTTCACGGCCGCTAATATGTAGAGTCATTCCATGGAAGACCCGCCTTGGCAGATCGCTTGGCCGCCCGCGGAATTCTTTTCTAGCAAAATCTTTGCTCTCGCCTCCGTGAGAGAAAAATGCTTTCCCTCAGCCTAGCCGACATAATGTATTCTCCGCCGCAAGTCACAGTCACTGCAACGCCCCATGCCGCTCAAATCTTTATTTCACTTGCCAGTACAGGACGACCAGGGTACTTTGTCTGCCCACACCCAGAAACTGACCGAGGTACCACTCACCGATGAAGAGAAGTCGACACCGACTCCGTGGTCGGAAGATTATGTCGTCACGCCCAGCATTCATGGTCTCCATAGCCAATCAGCAACCGGTTAATCCCCTCGCAATCCTCTCGAAATTGAATAATTATTGATTATAGAAGGTCCCGAAACGCTTTTTAAAACAAACCCAGGGACTGCACCCAGGGACTGAAAGCCAGGGTAAGCTAAAATAAGAGACTAGAGCGCCTTCGCTACATATGTAATAAGCTGATCTGTTCTTTCCTCAACACCTGGCGTACTGGAATCTACAGTATGTATACGTATTCAGTCTTCCACTGCTATTGAAATCGCGGATGCATCGATATCTGCCAGGCTGTTGCATCTCTCAGAGGCTGGTAATCCTGATGGCGAGGGAGCCCAACAACGCCATCAAAATACTTGTTCAAAAAGCGTTGTATACGTTTCGGAAACTTTGGTCAACGATCAAAATTTCTATGCATCGACTAACATTACTTGAAAAAAAGTATGACCTTTTGACTTCCCGCGTAGAGTTCACTGTATATTCTCCAGCATTTGCTTGATCTTCTCCATCTCCCTTTTTAGGGTTCCAATCTGTCGAGCTAGAATTCTCACATCACCAGCAAGGGTTTCCGGACAACCCATGTTGGATTTGCTATCCAAACTTTCAAGCCAACCATTAGCGTCTTTCTACCTTGAAGACTCTTGACTGCGTAATCCAAGAAGTTTCACGGAATATGAGCTGAGGCTGGCCACGAGTACTTACTTTGTTGGTTTGCTCACCCTACTGTAGAGACACTGGTTAGATCTTATATCGGACACTAAAGACAGAGCATCACAATATTCTGAGACGTAGTGACTTACCGATTAGCCGAAGATTGAAAATCATCAGACTGACAGGGTAAAGAGCCGTCGACAGATCCATTTTCCGGAACCCCTTCGAATCGGACATTGCGGTCGCGCTTTGCGTCATGACGACGCTTCTTTATTCTCTCCATGTCGTTGTCTCGAACGCGAAAGGTGCCTTGTGGCTTTTGTCCAGAAAGTATCTCTCCATTTCTTCCCTTCTCTGAACGGCCCTCGTTGTGATTCGTGTCCACACGAGCGACATGTGCGTGCAATTTGTTCATCCAGTAACTGGATACGTGATTGGCTTGGTCGCTCATAATAGAATAGCAGTGGGAGACACCCAGGAAGCAAAAGAACGATATGTATTGGGATGTATTGGGAAGCAACAGCAGAGTGTTGTCAAAGTTTTAGAAATAGGAAACATTGAATATATCTAAGAGCATGCCATTTAAAGGGAGCTTCAGATTTCATGTGTCAGCATTATCTACCGTGTGTGTTTCTTGGCCTCAGGATCCATGGAACAAAACCCAATGGACTGTGGTTAGGGAGAAAATACCGTTTTCATTCTAAGGTACATGTAACGTAACAACCCTGGAAATAGTCTAGGCTTTCAAAGAAGTCAAAACATGTTCAAAAAAACAGAACTCTATCTCGAAACCAGCCCAGAGGTTAACTCAGAGACTCAAACACAAGGACAAAGGTTTTTTTTTATGCTTGTTGCAAAACATCTTCCTCTATAAGGAACTTAATCAGGACTGGAAATTCAATACGGTTGCAATTCTGGGTCGAAATGGCATTCTGATAAATGGACCTGGGGAGATTCTTCAGTCTTCGAATGGTAATCCCTCTTTGAACTCTGGCGAAGTTACCTCTGTTCAACCCCTACCTTATGCTTCCTCTGGCTTAAATGGATGAAACTGCTCGAGGAATCACGTCTCTCTTCGCAAAAATCTCACTCGGTAGTGACACGCTTTCGAGGGACCATTCCTACCTTCTTAAAAAGCCTCATATGACTATTGAAGTACTAGATCGCCTGCTCCAGATCAAATTCTACGATAGACATGGAAGAGAAACAATGAGCTCATATAGTACTCTAATGTGTATTCGAACAATAATATCTATCAGGAAACTATGCAGAGGTTTCATGAACTCGCATACCAAGTAGATTCTGCAAGAACACTCATCAAATATTGTGTCCAAAGTAACTGGCACATCAAAGCTGCTCTGATAGGTATCCTTATGTACCAGCAATACTGTCGCTTCGAAACTCACCCGCTTACTCCCGGTGAAGATGTAGCTTATTGGTTCCGCAGACACGGTGTACATAGTCCCAAAGCCAGGACCTGGACTGAAATTCTTGCGGTGGAGAATCATGCGGAGCCGGTGTGGTACAGTATACACTAAATGACAGAACAAATTAGCATGAGTAATCGACGAAGAAATGTCTGCGTACCGGAATGCGACTTTTCTGTGGCGGAAATGTTCTCTGAAGCAGTGGATTCTGCTGCAGGTATTCTCTGAACCCACTGGTCGATATTTCGAGCCTTGGTATTTGTGAACGCTGGGAATCTCTTCCTTGCACCCCCAAGCCGTCGAATACGTTTCTGACGTTTTGGAACTGAGCGCTGCCTAGATACCTTGGCACGATTGAGACGGCGTTTTCGAAGAATGTGATATTTCTTCCCCCGTAGTGATTCGACTGTTCGGCTAGTACCATACTGCTTATTATAAGCGGCAGCACGAGCGTCCCAAGACAGAGCTCGGTTTGCATGCAGCCAAGGGAGAAGATTATCCTCCTCCCATTCTGACCAGCCTAGCGAGCTGTGCTGAGACATCTTAGGAAAAAAAGGAGCGGTGGTGAATGAAAATATGACTTGTGAGACTTCTGCAGGAATTTGCAACGCACAGAAAGTGGGCGTGGTGAGCTTTAAACTTTGGCACCTGAAATGATTGTCGCGAAATGACAGTTTCTAGAGGCAACCCTACCCAAAATACTTGACTGATTCCCGGGGATCACTGGTTATGCCTGAACTTGCCGGTAAAGTGATAAGCCAATGTAACCATTGAGAAACATGGACAGACTGAGCTGATCCGTGGTTCTGTTCTGCTACCGTGAATCCTCATTTATTTATGGCATTTTTGATGTTATCCAACGATGCTCAACTGAAAGGCATGATTTGTTTCCCGAAAAGTTCACCGAAAGAGCGAATGTAACATGTTGAGAGCTTGAAAGAACGTCTTTGAATCACACAAAGCTATTCTTCACTCGTAAAGCCACATGGCGTCACGACTAAACATTGGGATTCAACTATCATGCCATGGTGATTAGCTCCTTCCTTGATCAACGTCTGCCAATTTCCGTATATTATCTGTTCGTCGATAGGAGTGAATTGTAGATTGGTCAAGTCTACGCGACGCCATTGTTGCAGATGTATTAATTCCAATAGAGAAACTGGAAATTGGCAGCCGGCTAGAAGCTAAAATTGGTGGAGGCTATTTCAATCAGATCTCCGGAGATAGTGGGGCAGGATCTCTCCGCCACCTCAGGTCGTCCATCCGCTCCGGGCTCGGTCGTGTATTTAGCATGTCCCTAACTTTTCAATTTTCTTCCTCTATTCAAAATTCCGATCTAACGAAAAAGATAAGAATAAGTTGGAATTATTTGCCCTGATATCCAAATTCCAAATATGCCTTCTCGTCGAAGACTGTCACTTGTCGATGGACGGCACACCTTTCGAAGCAGACTGAAACGTGCACTATCTCTGTCATCCTCCGAATCGAGCAACGAAGCCAGGAGCCAAAGACCTAGAGTGAATCATATAGCTGGGCTTGCGGTTTTCTTCCGAAAACACTGAAGCTGTCAGACGCAGAAAAGTTGGAATTGAAGCCGACAATCAGGAGGGTTACTGGCGACCGTGGGAGATGAAACCTGAGAATGAGATAAGTCGGCCCGAGACTCCATCCGAGGGCGAGCCCGAAGAGTCCACACAACATAGCATTATTGCATTGAAATGTGTATCAGAGTGAGTGCTGAGACTGAAAATAGTTGTTCTTTTACTGACATGCTGAATCAAGTCTGGATGGCCGAATGAAGTCAGTAGTACAGTATATGATAAAGAGGGTGGAAACAATGCTGATTTTTACTCTACAGATCTTTATCAAATTCTGTTAACCAACAGGTTGCTTGGAATGAGACAATCCGGCATGATATGGAAGATGCTCTGAGCCGGCTCGCCACCATGGAGACTCGAATGAAAGATGCGATGGACCACAAAAAGTCTGCAGTGTCGAAAACCAATCAGCCAATAGTGAGATAATACCTTTTGAGCTACCATCAAGTCCCATGTTTTCAGAATGTGTATAATGGTCAAGGCGCTTTGATTTCGTGACACTCATCTTCAGCGGCCGATCGTGCCATCAAAGAATAAGACGTCATGTTCTGCTGGCTACTAGGAGGAAGACTTCTCCTACTCCTGATGTCTATTACATGGACGAATGTGAAATGGAGCGTGATTGTTCTCCCTATTTCGAAGTTACTGCTTGCCAGAGTCCGGATATGTTCGCATTCGATAAAATGTAATTGCTCCGATCTCGGACGTGATATCATTCCTTATCCCTCCGATTATTGGACCGTCCCCTGTAGCATCTTGATTGGTTATGGGGCTTGGGTTAAATGAAAATTTTATAGGTCTCACCGTGGAATGTTCTAGAATCGAAAACACGCACCAGCCCACTCAAATGTATCTTTGACAATGCGACCCGCTCTAGAACAATATTTATTTTCGGGGTGGCATGCGAAATTCGAAGAGAATAAGGTTTTAGTTCCACGATTTAGATCGTCCTAATAAAATTGAAGTGGGTACTAGAATTGCGGTCTACTAGCTTTGTGTGGTTCAACTGAATGCTTCATAGTGTCATGCAAAAAGACCTTCAGGCAGAGAAGCTGAGAGATGGACGGAGACGGTTCCCGGGAAACGAAAGGGTACGCCCGAACGGTATGAAGTTTGGAGCCATGGATCTGAGGTAGGACAAAAGTACCACTTAGAGTGTCCTCCAATCGGCGCTATTCGGTAGTGGAAAAAGACGCAGTTTGACTTTATTAACAGAATGAACCTGATGCTATCTTTCTTTCTATGGTAAAGATGAGGCCGCAGCAAATATTGGATAATCCGAAAGGGCATGGAAAGACTTCTTTGTATAGATACGATATCCTACCCCGGGAGATCGTCGGTCGAGCTCAAGCAAATGGCCCATACTCATTGGCCGAGGTAAGAGCTTGTGGGTCAAACGGCGGCGGGTTGCTTGATCCGGAAAACCCGGGAAGCGCGTTAGGGTCGGTGGGTTCCGAAGGATCAGCGGTGGTAGCCCAATTGCCATGGAACACCTCGGTGCTAGGCAAGAAGGATGCCAATCGTTTGTTCTGAAGACTATCGATCAAATTCCCAAAGCGAGTCGCAGCGGAGATCAGTTCTCCGTGTGTCTGATGCAAGACTGGCTGTATATCGTCCCATGCCACCTGGTCCTGCAACGTGGTGTTTGTAGACTCCAGCTGCTGCCGCAGCTGCGAAGTCTCCTTCTTAAGCCGCTCAACTTCAGCGACTGCAGTGTCCTTTTCGGCAATGACTTTGTGTACGTTGGATATCTCTCGAGCCTTCTCAGTGTGGAGCTCTTGAATGAGCTGGGAAGTAGCAGTTCTGCCATCTTCTCTCTCGGCGATAATTCTTTCAACCTGCTCTTCATAATCGTCTAGAACTTTGAAACACTCCCGATGGGAAGACTTTCGACGTCGCCTCACAGAGCGTTTCATGGAATATTTCTAAAATTGGGTTAGTCTAAGGCCTCTCATGGGTGCAAAGCACCATATGACGATAGGGATTGCCATGGCATATGGCAGGGACGGAAAGTGGAATGAGATAGTTTAACTTACGTCGGACATCTTGCTCGTTGCTGGGCTTAACGAACCAGAGTCAGTGTCAGATCCCGAGACTTTCGACCGGATCGAGCGATTCGACGAGTTTCCGGATCTGCCAGCGCGCGATTTCGGCCTACCGGCATGTTGCTCGGTGCGACTTCGGGACAGTCTAGGATCGTTTGCCATCACGAGTATATCTTTGTTCGTTGGAGAGCTATTGAGAGTAGACAGGAGGAGAATCTCAATAATTGCAGACTTTGTGGGATGCCATGTTATAAAGGTCTGGGTGGGGCCCAGGAAAGCAGGCGCGAAATAGCGCGAAACGCAGAATATTGCTCGTTGAGATGATTTTGATGGCACTCACATCAGTATTATGAGTATTCAATACGCACCTGGATCTGCGGGCCGTAAGTGGAGACGGAGGAAAGGGAAATGATTGCCTTAGATGTGGGGTCTTTACATGATCGCCAGACCCGCACATCTTAGATCTGTGATTGACTACCCAGTCCCCACTCAATTATCTGCCTTCATTGTTCTCAATAAAAGAACCGCATTCAGATAATGAATTCATCTCTAATATCCAACTGGGAATCTTTGCCAATGAAGATTCTGTTTCGAGACGGTCCTTGAACCAGATCATGAAGATTCAACATAGCGTGACTAAATATCTCAAGTTACCATGGAAGCGTCGCCGACATTTTGACCGGCCGAAGAAGTTGAAATGAGGGCACAAAGAGGGCTAGTTTCCTCAGCAACCATACAAGGGTTCTCCGCCCATGGGTATTTAGTCCATAGGGGCCCAGAACCCCACAATGGCTTTCCCACTAAGCACAATGGAACGACAGGGGCAGTCACCCGTTGACTTTTGAAGCACCGCGGTGTGAAATCTGGGATAAATTTGTTTGGCACAACCAATAAGCCCTTGTCTGTACTCTAAGCTAAACTGAACAGGATAAATAATGGCCTTGGTACGATCCATTCACAGAGGCTGATGCGCAGGGTAACATCCAGATGAATACAACGTGAACTATTGGAAATGTGTGGAAATGGAACCTGAAGTTTAAATAATCGGCCATGAATAATGCTACCATTTCACAGTGGTTAGATCTATCTGACGAGATTCAGGGACTTCTAAGTTCTCGAGGAAGGTGGATATACGCCGATCGATATTCCAGGGTAGATTATGCTGTAGGCATGCTTCGTATAATTGTGCCGTATATTCAGTAGTACTCATCGCCAGTCGCCCTCGCTGCGTCAAATCTACTGTCAGTGGCTAACTAGAAGGCTGATTCAGTGACTGGATGGAAATGGACACGCAACTGACTCACGACTCTGGACCACTGTTTGGCTCTCTTGCGTAATAAGGTAAATATAGTATTGTCAGGATCACTATCCACAAAAATAACTCAACACTCGCTGTTTTCAGCGTAAATCTTTTACGGGCCTGACGAAAGCCAAGATTTTATATCCGGGCTCTGTCTTCGGCTCGAACCATGGTTCCCGGACCCTTGCTCATCCCGAGCTTTATTCTGCAGTATTTTGACCGCGTAGATCTTAGCACACCGGGGATGTTGAAAGAGTGCAGAGGAAAGCATTTTTTTTTCAGAATAGTATGAGGGATGCTGGGATTTGAGAAATACTGTATTTGATACCTAGAGAATATCCAAGAATAGTCGCTAATAAAAATCAGCTCTCAAGGGCTAATAGAAAAAGACCCTCACTTGTAGATGATCAGTAAACATATGAAACGAGTAATTCCAACCTTCGGAGATTGTTTCAAGCCCTAAATGTCAGAAAGCAATAAGGCTTTTCTGGGCTTGCTCTCATTCTGTCTCCGCAATGTTTACTTTAGCCAATTGACTGAATATGAAACATGCTTCAGCTGGGTATCAAAAACTTTCTTTCTTAGCTCCTGGAAACCTAGCATAGGGTAGAAAGCATGAATTACAGTATTTGTTCAATTACATATTATGCAACAGTCGGTCGACCCATTGTCTCCCAGGAAACCAACCCATTGTTCGGGACCAGTAGAGTCCATAATGTTCTAGAGCTGTCTTGACGCTGGAACTTCCGGCACTATGATATCACGATATAGCTTCTCGTTTTTATCTTGGCATTTGGAATATCTATTTAGTTGAAGCCAACATCCTGCCACTCCTCATCATGACCATCCTCTTCCCACACAATCACAACCCTATTACACTATGGACACAACGGTTGCTAGCCTACCCCCCCGCAGTGGGAGATCTGCTCATGAAGAACATCGGCATTATACAGATAGTGTCGATGTATTCCATTGGTGCGTACAGTGCACTGGAAACCGGCTTTTTCACATTTTTTTCTTCAAAAGATATCGTGGGTTGTATTTTTGGAGTATGCAAGCCGCCTCCTGGGGAATCATTGTACATGCCCTTCCTGCCATGACTCGATTCATTTCTCAATCATCCAATCTGCCGACGTCAATTCCATTCATACTTGGATGGTATGCCATGGTGACCGGCCAAGCTGTTGTGTTGTATTCACGGGTACATTTGCTCGCCCCCATCGAATGCAAAACACGATGGATCTTGTGGATGATTGTTGTGAACGCTTTCATTCTTCATGTCCCAATGACAGTCTTGTTCTTCGGACTCAACAGTGGAGTGGCAGGGTTTGCTCGTCCTGCTGCAATTTTTGATCGAATCCAGTTGATTGGTTTCTGCATTCAAGATCTCGTCATCTGCAGTATCTACATCTATCACACAGTTTTGTTGTTGAAAAGCAGCCGTAATCTGCACAGAACTGGGAGCCGCAAAGTACTCATCAATATACTCTGTGTCAACATCATGGTTGTGCTCATGAACATTCTGCTCCTTGTCACGGAATTCAAACTCCACTACATCCAAGTCAGCTTCAAGACAGTGGCTTACAGTATCAAGTTGAAACTGGAGTTCTCTGTATTGAATGAATTTCGTTCCTTTTTTTCCAAGTCAATCTATCTTGGCGCTTCAGAGATCGACAAGAAGGCTCACAAAGATGATATGAGTTCATCCAACGTGAGATTGAACCATTCAAATGCCACGTCGGGTGAGGTGCGACATATGCCTCCAAGATCGAGCGGGGCTCAGGCACAGCTACAGTATGATGGTTCGCTGCATGAGACACGAGATAATAACCATCAATCAGTGGATGTCATTTCACCCCCGCCCAGTCTCTCAGACGATAACTCAGAGCAACCCCTCCATGACTGGCCGGGGGTTTCGGGCGACCTTGAGCTGTCGTTATCCCAAATTTCGGCAAAGTCTGATGTATGAGTTTTTCAGCCGCCAGTCCAAACCTGCGGTCAAATCAAAATTAAGAGAAAGGGAAAAAAGTCGGAATAAAGAGAGCTTCAATTGTTAAAGATAATAGATTTTGTGGAAAAAGCGACTATATCTGCAGGCAATATCACCGAAGATAAAACACGCGTATGAGTTACACCGGGAGTCTCCATGTGATGTTAGAAGCGAATAATTGAAGAATCCTACACCCAGCAAGCAAAGTGTAGAACTAGCAATGAATTTTACACTTTTGTCATACTGAAATGGATTTAGTAGCCCTCCCAAATTCCAGCGGCTACATCCACTAACCTAGGACTCAAGTCAAGAACGGGACGCAAGCTTCTCATGATATTCAGGCATTTATTGATGACCTTGTGCAGTCAAGAGGAGCAAGAAGAGCGTGGTTTGGTCATAACGGGTCACCTGTTACTGCGGTGGTACACCGTGGCATCAGATTGAGCCCGCTCGTGCTCCCTGTAGAGAGGAAATGTGTCTGCATTTTGTGCGGTAGTGGTTCCGACATATATGTAGATGGAAGGCGAGAGGGGCAGAAAGTGAGAGATGACGAGCTTACTCACAGAGGCAGGCAACTGACTCTCGTGAGGCAGTTGTAGGAGGAGGACGCCCTCAGCAATGTCGTTCTGGACATCGAGTGAGGCTACAGACATCGTGAGGCTACAGGCATCATGAGGCAACCCCAGTAAAGCCGCGCCCCTTATATAATTGATGAAGATTTTCGGTTACCTTTTTGCTGTATTCATTGAGAAATGACCTGAGAGTCACTGGTGAACAGAACCGGATGGAAAGTTGAAAAGAGCGGCCATCAGAAATAACACATCCGGAAGTCTACGGTCAATCCAGGCCAAGCAAAAGCTGACTCGTTTATATTAAGATCAATAAAATTCAAGATTTCTGAGATAGGGTGCCAATATTACATGAAGCAGGGAAGAAGTGCGATATGAGAAAACCCCTACCTCATGTTTCAGCTATTTGGCACTCCATTAGCCTAATGACACCGCCAAAGGAGTATAAGTACGTTTTGAAATCCTTGGGTTTACTTGACTCATTAAGCATCCATTCTTCCACCAAAATGGCTCCTTACACTCGCCAGTCTCGCCGTACTGGAGGCAGAAACAACTCAGACACAGCTCTTTCAAGACGTGATTATTTGATGTCTTCGCGAACATACAATGGAAAGGAGAAATCGCCTTTCACTTCCAGCAAGATTGATAGAAGTGTCGTCGGCTTCAAATTCGTCGAGCAGCCAAAGACAATTTTACGGATCAGGCTCCGGAAGAGTGCGCATGAACCAAGCGTGTCGCTAGCGACCAGCTCAGTCAAACCCAACAGGTCAATCTACCCGGCTAAAAAGATTAAAAGCAAGAGAGGCTCCCTAGAGAGCTGTACTGATCGGCTCATTTGGTTGCAACGACTTCGCCCTACGCCCCAACGACAAGCCGAACTTCTGAAATCTCATAGTTAATGCCGGAGACAGAAGATGGCATAGGTACACGCGAATGATTATCTTTGTTCTTTTTAAAATTCTATATAGTTTGTGGGTCAAAATGAGAAAAAGATAAAGCCAGTGAAGTGTGAATGTACAGTACAGTAGAAGCTTCACGCACAGCTCGATGATTCCTTCGTCAGTACAGAAAGTGCTGGATGATAGAACCCACAGGCAAATAATTCAATCATTCAAATTGGCTACAATATAAAGATCTTCCTGGCCACTTAGGTTTTCTTGAAATTTCCTTATCACATAATTGCAATCCAGAAGTACATAGATTATCAGTTCAAAACTTTGAGGATTTTCTTGAATAAAGTCTCACTCGATTAAATTCATAGTGTCGCCTTTCAGTCTGATTGGATTGGAGCACGCGAAGTAAAAAAATGCAAGGAAATCGCGCATGTAGAGCTGAGTATCAGCTGGATCTGCAATTTATCAGTTTAGTTTCAAAAGGCTTATTTATGAAGATATTACCTCAATGGCAATGCTCCATAGCTCGGAGACTGTGCCTAGAATAGCAACAGCGAGCAATAGAACAGATAAACAGGAAAAATGAACAATAATCCCGCGCAGAAGTGTCTTTGTTTGCGTCGCAAGCCTTCCTAGCCACAAATACCAAGCTGTGATGCCCAAGTAGTCAAACAAAATTAAGAAGAGAATCAAATAGTGAGTACTGTTTAGGAGGAATGCTCCGAAAAACGTACTCAGTATCTTCAAGATTGTAGATATAAAGAAACAGACAAGGAATAACCGTTCCGCAAATTGTGGTACAAGTGGGTTATTCTGCTGCTGACAGTTGACACGGAGGAACTTGGCGGAGATCAGCTCAATAATAAGCTCTGTCCTGAGAGTTAAGACCTACTTCATGTAACGATGGGAGTGTCGAAGCGATCCCGAGAAAAATTTGACGCCATAGTGGCAACTTACGGCTCCAGAAAAGGCATGCTAGAGTGGCAGATAATGTCACAGTTGAGATACCAAAAGCCAAATGAATCTTTTGATTAGAAAAACTGGAGTTGAAATGCCACAGAAAAAAAATCCTTGGAATCGATATGAACAAGAGCAGAGTTATGAGGAGTGACTGAAAAAGATGTTCGGAAATCATGTTTCAGACACAATTGTTAGCAATACAAAAGGCTAAATGATAATTTATATATCGAAGTGGTGCCTGGATATCTCCTAGGAGAGCTTTCCAGAGCCCCTGGGGAAGATTGTCTGCCTTGAATGCTGAATTGGTATTCTTGATGTCTTCCGTGCGCCGGTCAAGAAATAGTTTCGGTCATCGGCCTTTAACTCGTGTTACGTATATACATATTTATTCCTAGGATGAAGAGTGTGATTTAGAGAGATGGATACCATGTCAAAGAATGCAAGCCTACCTACCTTCGCGGAAGAATGAGAACTAGACACAGAGATATAGTGCCAGCTCAGTCAAAAAGAGTCTTCAAAAAGAGGGAAGAGGTTTGCACCCGCATGTAGTAACACAAGCACATTCACGAAATATTTTATCTCTTGATTGCCATATTAGGGTTTGTCTGACTTCCATAGACGATTCTCAGTAGACTTTATATTGAGACCTTTTGCTGGAAGGCATAATTAAGAATGACATCTTGATCTTGTTTCTTTCACAAACAGTTTAATAGAGATATACTTTCCAACAGGTACACATAAATGGAGAAATTTGAGATGTCATATTAATGAGCTTTCAAAGAGACGTCTTGGGAGCTCGCTTGAGCGTATCAATTAGGACTTAATTGCTCAACTCTATGATAATAGAATCAGCCCCTTGTGAAGGGATAGCAGCTGCTTACTATACAAGCGCTGTCATAACGGCCCGACAAGAAGAATCTAGCTGAGCCTGTTTTAGTTCAAGCTGGAATTCATTGACATCCTCTGCCTTGCCTTTCATTCTTCTCAGATCAAAGGAAAGAAAATGACTAAGTATGCCTTACTATTTTAGATTTATACAATCATCGTATAGGGTCCGCTAGTCAAGACAAGGTCCAAGTCTTCCTATTGCACTTTGGTCAATAAGACTTCATGCCACCAATAAGTTTATTATCTAGTATTATGCTTGGGTCTGTGGCACCTAAATTATAGAGAAATTTACAATGTAGAATAAAATTACTACGCCTCAACATATCAATTTATTTGATTATCCTTTGGCAGTATGTCTTCGATAATTGCTGACAATGAAATATATAGAATCACTCTATTCAATAGATCCCTCCCTATCATCTTCAACACATGAGAGCAAAGTTGAAAAGCCACGTCGTAATGTCCGTCTTATTTATTATCTGAATATGAGAGAGGCCTTGCTCTCTTGGAAATAAAACCTTGGAAAGACTACCTATTTTGAGCTTCGAACGGGTTGCATTGCACTCCCTATGGCAGGGCGAGAGCAGTCTCACGGGATGCTGCTCCAGTGTTCGAGTGAGCTCGGATCAGAGGATAGCCAAATATCCACCGCGATCAAGTCTCAGTGTAGGTGGGGGATCGCCGCCTGCAGTACCGCATTGGAAAAGGACACGAGACTATAAGTCCAAATCAGATGCATTCCATGCAGGCTCGGGTGCCAGTTCTGAGCAACTCCCATTCTTTCCAGAGGCCGAAGAAGATACAAAGTTCTTCCAAGAAGGCCCCCAATCATCAATTCGCCAAAAGAAATTGCGAGTTGCAATTGGTGCTGTGTGAAGATTGGTTTCGCGAGTGCATGGATAGTCGGCATTAATGCAACCAGGCTGACTGATGCCATATGAAGTGAGAAATGAGTCAAAGGGGCGTCATCGTCATCAGTCTGCCCATGAAGCATATAGCGAGGTAGGTTTCCCACTGTGATAATCGCCAAAGACGAGATATACCAAATCTGTAGCAAAGGCTGGCCTGAGAATAAGAATGGAATTGTTGGAAGTGTGACAACCCAGAGAAGGAAAAGACGACCAAGCTGGGTTGAATCCAGCTCATCTTTGGTATCCTCATACTCGAACACACTAATCACGTGGTGATAGATGAGATTCAAATACCAAAAGGCGGTCCCAATCCCAAATCCCGTCACGGACAAGGCGACAATGATTTCTCCCGGAGTCGAGGGGAAATGGAAAATGAAGAATTGCAGCGCATAGATTAAAAAGTATGAGAAGCCGAAGATTCCTATTGAGGCCCCCATGGCACAGTCGCGGACATTCTGGCCCTTGGAAAACATATTTTCGTGGAGGAGCTGCTTTCTGTGTAGTGGATGGACAAAGCGTGCGGGAGCTGGCAATTTTATATTCTAGTGAGGTGCTGACTCTAGCATCCCGCTTTTTCTCAAATAAGATTGAAAAATGGTGGCAGCCGTAGACTGCTGAACGTTGATAACAGCCTCCTTCTATGTAAAATCGGAGATCAACGGCGTCGTGTTATATTGTGAGGGTTGCTTGATCGGTTTTCAACTCAATTTCAACGCAAGAAAATATCCCGCGTGACCAATATATATGGCTAATGGGCCTAGACACAAATCTCGTAGATACCACGCCATTGAGAGAATGGAGGAGATCGCGCACCTTGAGCGCGAGCTGGGCCAGCAGCGTGTCGAGAATGCCTATTACCGCGACTGCTACGCACTTTTCAAGCTCTTGCAAGATCTCGCAGAAAACACATCTCATGATCTGCAACGTCTTTACAACTCCGACTCACCGAATGATCCACACTGTTCCGGCCACGAAATCCTGTGGTACCTGCAAAATACGATATCTAGTATGATTGAAAAGGCATGCGAGTCCGAAAAGAGATGGAATGCTCTCTGTCGCATCGACCAACTCTACTCAGCCCGGGTTACTTTGGACCCAATTAGGACCATGTATGCTGATCCAGAGGAATGCTATGGGGCACACCAACCGACAAAGGATATTGGCCTCAAGCCTTGGCGATCCCGGGATAATGAAAATTGTGTCAAGGGGTTGTGAGATAATTCTCGCGGTTTCTGAAATCTAGACTCAATCAAATCTCCTTCGAGAAACCAGATAGAGGGGAAGACTCTTAACGATACGGACGGGCCAGACGAGACAGGAAGAAGCCGACTAATATTTGAAATATTGGGAAATACGTAATCAAGTATATTTGAACTCGAACTAGATTTATCATCTTGTGTTGTGCGTAGTACATTCAGATAAGCTGTGCCATCCATGGCCAGTCCGATCAAAGAATCGATTCTCTCATGTCTTTTCCCCTTCGAGTGTAAATGACCTTATCATCTTCGCCCAAAGGGGGCATCAAATACAGCAGCAACAGAGCTGTATCAACCAAGTGATCGATGATCCGATAGATAAGGAAACTGCCAACCATACGGCCCCAAAAAGGCGTGAGCCGAGGATGGCCTTGACGCCTATATCACTTAACTTAGCTTTTACTTCCGTGACGAATACTCCGTACGTCACTGTTACCCCAACCATAGCGGTCGTGATAAAAAGGGCCGAGAGCTAGCATTGTCAGCCACCTATATTCGTCAAATTCTCTTGAAGTCTCACATACCGGGCTCAGGATGGACAAAAGTCTATCCCCTCTGTCAAAGAAAGTTTTTTGAATGCCAAGGGCGGTTACTAGCGTAATTCCAACGAGGCCAGATATGTATAGGTAGATAATGGCGCGAGAGATTTGGCGATAACCCGATATCGTAGACTCGTCTACCGGTCGGAGCACCTCGTCCATTTTTGCCACAGTAGATCCAAGCGTGGAAGAAAGATTAAAAGCAAAATTCAAGCTAGGGTCCGAACAGATGGACTCAGAGTTATGTCCAGATGTGCAATAGCTCTAAAGACCCACTGAGTAGTGTTGTGGAATGTGTGATTTCAGCTTATCAGCGTCCGACTGGATGGTATGATGAATCGCCGAAGTTGTTTTTGAAGATGCTTCATCTGCGCCCTCACGGGCAGTCGAGGGCACAGTGTTGACCGCATTTGCTCCATCATGAAGAATAGCCGAGGAACCCACATCCTCAATCCCAATAGACCCGCGGGGCAATAAATGATCGACCTTGGGAAAGTCTGTTAGATCTACCTATGCTATAAACTAACCTTTGGCCGGAAGAATATTTGTAAACCGTCCTACCTTCAGAAAATAAAGCTCGCGGGATGTGGAGGGTGAGGAGCAGCTGACAAATATCAAGATCAGACAGGGGAAGACCGCGATCGAAAGCGACAAGGCAGCAGCTGAGACGAGCCGATCTAGCCTTGGTATAGTTTGGAGCTTCATTGTTCTAGAATATATTTCATATACTAGAGATGATCGAGATGATGGGTATCTGAAAATTTGTTAGAGAAGAAAATTTGTTAGAGAAGAAAATTTGTCAGAAAATATATTTATACTTTGGACATCTCAAAACCTCTCATATTTCCTACAATAGGCGGATTGAATGTGAGGAAAGTTTCTAAATATCTCATTGTCGGCAGTGTGTGAGTCTAGAGTCTCAATATTGACTGTTCACAGTACAATATTGTACTTCAAGCGATAAGGAAAAGATCGGCATCAGAAAGATTAGAATGTCAGTTTTATACTTGAAGGTATGTGCCAACTTTGTGCCAAATCTATGAGGTCGGATGTTTCACTATATGCCCAATATATCAAACGATATAAAACTACGAAAGAACACCGACGAAGTAGCTCGAAATAATTTTACTACTTCGGGTCTTCCCGTAGCACCTCTCCTCCAGTTCTGCTCTCTGAAAGTACTCTACATGGCGTCTCCCAGTCAGTCCGAAATGGAGGACCTGGAGTGTAAACTCTATGCTTATGCTAGGAGTCGCTTCAAGCTATCGGCCAGGGTGCATATGTCCCACCTCATCTTCGAAACGGGATTTAAGCGACGTATGGATCAGCGTCAGAATGTTCGCCGCCTCGAACGAATCTTGAAAATACAAGGATGCCATCGTTTGATGAAGGAAAATCATGTGTCCGTCATAGTACCCAAGGCAGACTGGCAACATCGGGTGCATCCGCGGTCGGACAACGGGATCCTTCCTAGCTTGGATGTAGATCTGGATTACGGATTACGAGCGCTAGACCACGAGAATCTCATTGTAGCTGCCAGAAATACACTTGGATTCAACAACCAGTGGTGGGTGGTGGATGTCTATGTGACTGACGAAGAATCGGGTATGGATCCTTTTGCTTGACTCAAAGCTTGATCATCACTGACTAACAACTACTTTCTTTCAGATGACCTCGATGCAACTGCCCAGGAGCTCCAGGGAAGGCTTCTCCAATCATTACGAGAACGATTTTCAAACGAGCATCGGCCATCAGATGGGCTGATATATGAGCGTATCAATTACTACGAGGGCCGTCTTGACGGGCCTGAGAATCAACGGGTAGCAGAAAGCTGGTGGGCGGCCTTAGAGTCAGTCGCAGGGAGCAAGAAAGGACAGTATCTGAGATTATTCTTCAGGAACCAGTTCCTGACCCGCCAGTTGAACTCGCTACTTGCCATTCCAGGGCTTTGGGATGGTATGCAGATTGGAAACCTGCATAAAGTTACCGCTATGCACTGTGACGAGGTACGTTAAAACGTCCTGTGCCAGACTTCGGTGGAGCAGGGGCTAATACAATTGGCAAACCAGGCAATTTCGTGCTATTGGAGAAGTATTTTGACTACATTCCTAGGGATAGTTGGGGGCCACAGCGAAACCTTACAATTGGTTGACGGTATTACGGTCAACCTCATCGAGTCCCGAGTGCCGAAAGTCTCCAAAAAGGACAAAGAATTTCTGCAGAAAAAGTTTGATGAAGGCGTCCTTTTCCCCAGTTTTTCGAACAATGATCGACGGGAGATCTGGAACCGATTGAAAGAGATCGACTTCTTAATTCCATCTTTAAAGACTTTTTTTAGAGACCGCCTCTATCTGGAAGTACCGCAAAGTGTCATGAAGCAGCTATTTCTCCAACCAAATAGTACTGATGATAAACTGACAATCGACAATGGTGTTCATGGATTATGGGAAACAGGATCAACGCTCGACCCAGCAGCCCGAAAAGCCAGATTTCGAATTTACATTCTGGAGCTCTGGCGCTTCAGCTTCCAGTATGGATTCGAAATGACCGACTGGAGGCGGCTCAAATCATCAAGTAGTTCGGCATTCGGAACAGCTTCTAGCCAGCAGCTCTTGACTCTGCCCAACCGTACAGATATCTGGCAGCATTTTTACATGAAAATGGTGATCATGGGTCTCCGAACACCCATCGCTGTCGACCTTTCTGCCCCGCCAGTCGTATTACCATCCGAGATACCTTGCGATTACCCCGAAAATGCATCAGAAGAAGTGGATGTCAAGAAAAGGAGTGGTAAACCCTCGGTGGATACTGTGGAAGCCGACCGATACGCTCTATCAGTGGTATCACTGAAAGAAAGAAGGAGAGAGACCCGTGTCACATCGAGATTTCTCCGCATATCGGTGTTCAAGAAGTTCTTCGGTTATTTAATGGACCATGACACCATTAGTGGCCAGCTGCTGTGGCCCGAGTTTCTGGAAGACAGCACTCCGCATATTAGTGAGAATAGCGACGAGGACACACCGACTCTCTATGCACCAGGATTGGATAGCTCGAACAGGACCAGTGCCAGTCCTGGGGTCCGTGGGTCTGAATTTCATGTCTATCAAAGCACACCCTACATGAATCCACCAGATGATCCTGGAAGCAGCTTCGAGTTCGCCCGGTTTCCGAGCAGCTTTGAGTCCACTCCATTTCCTCCTCCTTCAGTTTCGATGAGCACGGCTCCATTCCCATACCCCGATCCCTCCATTTGATAGTATACGGCATTATGTTATGAGTACGTGTAGATTGCTTTCCGGGTGGCTGGAACTTTAATCCTGGCTCACTTCATTATGTGGTCATGGCATGCCTACTATACATATCAGGCCGCGTGCACAAGCGAAGAAAACAAATCTGGAATGCGAAAATTTTGTGAGTGGAGAAATCAATTTTTAGTGCTTTCGAGTAGCCTGGCAAACATATCTGTATTTGGGAATGACTACATCAAATTCAGTTGATTACACTATCTCCTAGTTGCCATATCCAAGTCTAAGTTTGAAATATAGCTATTGGTCTGCGGTCCAATTCTAAAATCTGGCAGCTAGAGTAGCACATGGAGACACCGGGTCAATCTAAGATGACAAAATCTATGAAATGTTATTTTGAAGCGTATTGGTTGACCGCTAGGGTAAGTAGATCTATAAAGTCCTTCTGATCTCCGTCCACCACGTCCTTCTCAGAACCCTCCACAAGACGTTTCAGTATGAAAGATCCAAAGAAGTAAACATGGCTTGGTAGCGATTGCGACGATAGAAAGTCTTGTTTGTGATTCAGTGCGCTGGCTAAGATTTTCAGGGCACCTAATAAACGATCTGACCCCGGCCGTGATCTCCGGAGGTATGAACGGCGAAGTGACCGAGAGATGCGTTGTGAGCGACGAGCAATCGCTTGACCCAGTCGCTGCATTTTAGGCAAACCCCTTATTTGAAGGCCGTGGCGCGCGATCAGTATTGAGGGAAGATCGATAAAAAGCCGGACATTCGGCCCAGGCATTGCTGTAGGTCTTGGAGCACTTTTTGATATAGTATGATGCGAGAGCGCCAGGTCGGCCGTTCGTGAAGATTCCTGGCGCGGCGAAGGCAGGCGGTGTAAAAGTAATTCACCCAGGGGCCGTTCTCTTCGCTCCAGGGTTTGGAGTGGTGGCGTAGATACGTGCGACAGCATCCACAAAACTAGTATAATAAACCTGAAGTATAATTCATTCGAATCAGGGTTTAGGCTATGAGTAAAATCGAGTGAATTATCACTGGGAGGGTTTTGAATCACATTATTTTCCTTGGGAATTGCGCTCGTTGTAGCTGAGGAGTATGCCATGTGATTTGGTAACCCGGATTTCAACTTGATGTATTTTCTCTAACAGTTCGGGCCTAGACATTATAAA